GGAAAACATACTCGTTTTCCTGGCACTATAGTGCCCTGAGGGTGCCCCCACCCTCAGGGTCCCACTCCCGCCCGGCTCTGGAAGGGGGAAAGGGGTAAAAACGTACCCTTTTCCAGCGCTGGGCGGGGAGCTCTCCTCCTCCGATCCTCCTCCATTCCTCCCCGTCGGCTGAATGTGCACGCGCGGCAAGAGCTGCGTGCGCATTCAGCCAGTCGCATAGGAAAGCATTTACAATGCTTTCCTATGGACGCTTGCGTGCTGTCACTGTGAAAATCCTAGAGGGAATGGGGGAAGGCTTAACCCATTCATAAACATAGCTATGTTTATAAAAAAATGGGTTAACCCTAGCTGGACCAGGCACCCAACCACTTCATTAAGCTGAAGTGGTCTGGGTGCCTAGAGTGGTCCTTTAAGCAGGGAGATTGGTCGTAGGTTGTCACATAGTGTTGGCGGTTTGTTTGGTTTGAGCAATGCTATGATATATGTCTCCAGCATTTCTCGTGGGAATTTACCGGATTGCTTTATTGCATTGAACAATTTTGTAAGGTGTGGGGTCAGTTGGGATTCCAGTTTTATGTAGTAATAGTTTAAAAAATTGTCTGGTCCAGGAGCTTTATGTTTGGGGAGGACTCAGATGGCTTGGGCCACTTCCTCCTCTGTAAATAAAGCATCTAGTGTTTCATTTTGTTGCTGTGTGGTTTGCAGGAGTGTAATTTGTGATAGATATCGTGATATCTCTGATGTTGCGGGAGTATATGTATCTTTGTTTTTATTAAGATTGTAGAGGTCTTCATAACATAGGGCCAGTTTTGGATGTGATATATGGAATTTTTGTTTGCAGTTATTTCGATTTCAATTGATTGGCTAATAGTTTGCCAGCTTTGTTACCCATGCAATGATATTTTTTGATTGGTTTTAAGTGCATTCTTTGTGTACACCTGGGCACGGAGTTTATGGATATCCACTTGAACTTTGGCTATTTGTCTCGATAAAGTATCGGAGGGGGATTGTTTGTTGGATTGTTCTAATGTTGTTAGCATTTGATGCAATGTGGCTTCTGTGTTGTGGAAATGTTTTTTGATAGTGGAACCAATTTTTATGAATTCACCTCTAATGACTGCCTTATGGGCTAACCACTGTATTTCCAGTGACGTGTCATTAGTGGAGTTATTAGCGAAGTAGTCATCGATTTCTGATGCTATCTTTAGTAGCTTGGTGGGATAATCCAGAATGGATTAATTTAGTCTCCATTTACCTCTGCCTTTTGTTGGGTATGGTACCGCTAATGTAATTACTATTGGTGCATGGTCCGACCGTGATCTCTGTCCTATTGTTTGATTTTGCAGGTGAGGTACAGTTGATTTGTCTATCAGACAAAGATCCATTCGTGTGTATGTCCCGTGGTTTGGAGAGAAGTACGTGTAGTCTCTCGCTGTTGGGAGCAAAGTTCTCCATGTGTCATAGAGATCTTGAGTGTGTATTAGGTGTGAAAAGAGTTTCCTGATTTGGGTGGAGGTTCTGCTGGGTGGTCTATGTTTCGTGCGTTGAATATCGAGTGAAGGGTCTAGAGTGCAGTTGTAGTCGCCACATATTATAACATGGCCTGCTTTCATATTCAAGATCTTTTTGATAGCTTTGTTAAAGACGGAAAACTGAGCTTCGTTGGGGGAATATAGAGAGGCAATGGTAATCAGTATGCCATTCAACTCCCCTACCAGGATTAGTAGCCTGCCTTCTCGGTCCATGTACTGTTTGTGTGGTGTACAAACCCAATCAGTGTGGAAAAGTATTGCTACTCCTTTTGATTTGTTAGGGGCATATGCATAATATGCTGTGGGGTATTTCGTTGATCGTAGTTGTGGTGGGTTTTTATTGCTGAAGTGGGTTTCCTGGATACATACTATGGCTGCCTCGTCTTTCAGCATTTGTTTTATTTTATAGGGGCTATTAAGGCCTTTGGCATTTAGGGAGAGGACTTTCATTGTGTGAGAAGCCATAAGTGTGGATTAATGATTAAGGCGAGATACTAAAAGTCTGAGTTGAACCTGTGGTGGAAGATAATGTTCACCCCTAATGTATTAGTACATACTCAATTGAGCCTTGTAGAAATATATGCGCTTTAACAAGTGTGTCATGCCACATTTCTGGTTAAAGGAGGTTGTGAAGGATTCCCCTGTATTTACCTGTATTCATTTGGCTATTCCCTCTTCCTGCTGTTAAATGACTTGAAAGCATTCGTTTTTCTTTATGTGTTCGGTAAATTATTAATTCTACCGAACGTAGACCACCCTGGGTAGCAATCAGAACTGAGAACACGATGTAACAACACAAAAACTGCAAAGTAATTGAGTGATTCTAGGTGGCCGCCATTCGGCATACGAACACACGTGGCGAGAACAAAGGATGGTGGCCATCTTAAACCCCCAAACGAGGCAAACGGGACTTGGTCGTCGAGTGCCTGGAACTGTTTTCGGCATGGCACTCGCACCAACACCCGGTCTCTATGCAAGTCACGTCTGACCTATTTCCCTTTGCAGTACAAGACCGACGTTCGGGAGTTTCAATCCACCGAACAAGGGGAGCATTCACCAGGAACCATCTGCAGTATAACTATAGTGGTTTTTGTGTAATTCTGCACAAATGGAGACCGAATCTTACTACCAATTCCGTGGACCTCTGAATCGGATACAACCGCATGGCAAGCCAGTCAAACTTCCACACGATGCAACACGAAAACTACCGAACAGATTTTCGTGCAATTTGGATATATTACTCCCAGTATCCTCAGCTACCCAGTGATATGGTATGGTTTTTATATTGGTATGTCATGTAGAAAGTATATTTCTAAAATTTTTGAAAATTGTTAATGTTTCTGGCCAGCAGATAATTGAGTTTAGTCTGTTGCTGAAACTCAATTATCTAGCCTGGCCCAGAGGAGGAGTCTATTACTGTATAAATTGAATTCCTGTTGCCTCCAGTAAACCAGTCTTGTTCCAGCATTAAGCTTTGGCTCATGTGTGGATTATTTGGCGATACCAGCGTTATTTTATCCTGTGGGTTATTGTTATTATTCTGCTATTGGGAAAAAGGGAATACCAGACGGCGATACATATTGCAACCGTCACAGAGGTATATCACGGCCATTTATACTGCTTATCATTTATACTGCTTATCGTGGTTACAGATTCCTGTGGGGAAAGGGGAAGAAGTGTGGAAGGGAGAAATAACAGAAAAACAAAAGTATATACATGTAGCTCCCTGAAGGGGGAGAAACATAATAGTCATCGGAGGGGCTCAATGGAATTGGTCCCCACAAACGACCTATGAGGGAGGCTATAGAGCTCCTCCCGACCTGATGGGGTAAACTATAATGCATGCAACTTTAAAATGTAAAAACAGCCATTGCCACAACAGGATTAAACATGTAACAGACAGTTTGCAAAGGTACAAATATTGACGTTTAAACCTCGTCTGTGATATTGGCTTTCAATTTTACTAGAGTGAATTGTATGCTTGATTTGTGGTCCTTGGTAGCTTTGATACCAGGACTTCTCATATTTTGATGTTTGATACGAGTGTTCTACATGCCATGACAAGGTGGTGTAGTTATCACCTATATATATTGGTTAAGCATAATGAGAAGTAGGATTCCATGTTTAATAGGTTCGGGGCTTAAACGTTATCACCTTAAGTTATAATCGGTGTCAAGGGAATAACTTTGGTCGGAATTGAGTATAAACACTCACAGACATTTCTATTTTGCGGACATGGCTTATGAATATATATTAGGCGCGCTGTGTAGCCCACAGGGTTGGCAAGTAAATAGCTAATACATAAATAAAGCGGCCCTATGGTTACATCTGTATGCAGTTGTTGTTATGCGTCTACAATCTTACGCCAGGCCTATAGTCAGATGTCATGAACAATACAATTCTATTTGGACATAAGGCAATAGTGGGTATGTGTATGTGTAAATTAGGGTGACAGCCATATCGGCTGGGGAGCATAACTGGACATTGTTCCTGTTGATTCGGAGGTTGCAGCAAAGTTCATGGTTTCGTGGCTGATGATCCTGCCATTTCCCATTCTGCCTGCATTCTCCTTGGAGAGCGATCATCCGATTTTTCTAGGAGGTTGGTGTTGGTGTTCCAACGGCACCAATCCATTAGTAGTTTTAGTCCTTCTTTGGGATCGGTAATCACTTAGGTTTTCCCTTAGCGCAATGTAATCAATTTAGTGGGGTAGCCCCATCTGTAGGCCACATAATTGTTTCGAAGTGTCTTAGTGATCGTGACAAATTCTTTGTGTTTTGCCATCGTGGCTGCTGACAAATCTGCGAACAGGGCGACCTGCTGGTGAGGGTCTGGGAGTGTGGGTAGCTTTCTTGCTGCTGCCAGTAGCGATTCTTTATGGGCATAATAATGGAATCTGACGATGACGTCTTTCGGTACTTCGCTAGAAAGACGGGTTGGGCGTGGGAGCCTATGCATGTGGTCATAGGCCCACGCTGAGTCCGGTAGGCCCGGAATCAAGGCCATGCAGATAAAGAGTATGTAGACTGGAAGGGCGTTGTGGGAGACGTCGTCGGGTATTCTCCTGAAGCGTACATTTTGTCTTCTCGACCTGTCCTCCATATCAGCTACTTTTAATTTCAGGGTGAAAGGAACTTGTATAAATAAATAAATGTTTAAATTAGGGTGAAATTTGAGCTGTTTCATTCATCTTTCACTGAGGAGTTCAAAAAACCTAACTATCACATCGGGTTCACTGCTTCTCTGGATATGAAGATCCTATGGCATCTCTCGATTGGAAAGGGCGTTATCAGTGAAGGGTTGATATATTGAACAATGAATTATTTAGTGTAATCAGTTAAGTTCTCTTGTTTAATTTCGGAGTTAAAACAACAAGAGTTAAAAACTACAAGAGGATAAATATCGTTTTGCTCACTTGTGTTTTTGGTAACTGGGGATGAGCTGGGTGACAGTGGGGCGAGGGAAGAGGAAAGGTTTAGCTAGTCCTGATCTCATGCAGCCTAATAGATTTGCCTGTTTGAGTGAAGATGTTGGGAGCATCAGCTCAGGAGTAGCTGTACTGCAGGAAGATGTTCCTGCTAACAGCCGTGGGAACAGCCCCTCTAGTACGGGTGGCATTGAGAGGGTAAGGAAGTTTAGAAAGTTTGTGGTGGTAGGGGACTCTATTATTAAGAGAGTAGATAGGTTAATCTGCCACTCTGATCGACTAAACTGGACAGTTTGCTGTCCCCTGGGTGCTCGGGTCCGGCATGTTGCCGACAGAGTGGAGGGATTATTGGGAGGGGCTGGAAATGACCCAGCTGTCATGGTCCATATTGGTACCAATGACAAAGTCAGAGGAAACTGGAAGGTCCTAAAGAATGAGTTCAGGGAACTAGGAAGTAGGCTAAAGAAAGGGACCTGCAAGGTAATTTTTTCAGAAATATTACCTGTGCCGCGCGCTACAGCAGAAAGGCAGCGGGAGATTAGAGAGGTCAATGCATGGCTGAAGTCTTGGTGCAGGAAAGAGGGTTTTGGGTTTTTAGAGCACTGGGCCGATTTTGCGCTTGGGTACAACCTGTTTAGTCATGATGGATTGCACCTAAACGGAAGAGGGTCTGCTGTGCTGGGGGGATAGGATGGCTAGAAGGTTGGAGGAGATTTTAAACTAGTGGTGGGGGGGGAGGGTCAAAGCAATCTAGAAAATGGAGATAGGATGGAAAAGAGATGGGCTTTAGCTCAGAACAAAGGGGGTGGAGATGGGGGAGGGGAAAGCTCAGAACAGAGGAGGTATGTAATATTGATCATTCACAAAAAGTACAAATGACTCACGACAATACTAAATGTATGCATACTAATGCAAGGAGCCTATATAACAAAACGGGGGAACTAGAGGCAATAGCATACACTAAACAATATGATATAATAGGCATAACAGAAACATGGTGGGATGAGACACATGACTGGGCAGTTAATTTAAATGGGTACACTTTATTTAGGAAGGATAGGAAAAACAAGAAGGGTGGTGGGGTATGTTTGTATGTCATCCATGAGTTAAAGTCAAATGTGGAGTGGGACGAGGAAAATGTGGCCGTTTTATGGGTAGATATCTGCTTGGGGCAAACAAAGGGAAATCAATTATTGGTTGGGATATGTTATAAACCACCTAATGTAAATATTAATGAGTAAGAACTGCTGTTAGAGCAAATTGGGAAAGCTGCAAATTGGAGTAACACGTTATGGAGAATTTCTACTACATAGAAACTAAGTAATAGTCATCCAAAAGTCCCAAAGAAACCAGATACCAATATATACCAGAAAAAAAGATAAGTAATAGAATTAGATAAGTCCTGCTAAATCTATTTCCTGATTAAGACCATCAGGGCCGTCTTTAATATGGATTGGACCCTGGGCAAACATTTGCTTGGGCCCCCTGAACCCGGTCGTCCCCTCCCTGGCATGCAATCATGCCCCCCACCCCAACGCAGAGGCGGACGTAAAGTAGAGAGGGCTCTGGTGCATGAATTATTTTGGGCAAGATTGGGCAAAAGGTAGATCCCCATCTGTCATGCAACTCCAACAATGCTTTGACAGCTGGGGCGCTACCATTTTCCTATGCATGCAGGGTTATATTTAGCACTGAGCACTATTTGTGTGTTTGAGTGTAAGCATGTTTTTGTATGGAGTATGTTTGTGTGAATGTAGGGGTGTGTTTGTATGTGGAGATGGCATTTAAATGCAAGTATGCATTTATGTGTAGTGTTGGTTTATGAATACACTGGTGTGTTTATATATAATTTTGTTGTTTAAAAAAAGAGGTGTGTTTATATGTAGTTTTGAAGTTTGAATGAAGGTGTGTATTTGCGTGTAGTGTTGAATGCTGAGATGTATGCACAAATACACATGCACTGTCACAAACACACACACACACACTGTGATACACATACACACACAGAAACACTTGCAGATACACAGATATACACAATCATACAGATGCAGCTATACAGACACATTTACACACACTGACACACACACATACAGACACACAACCTGGCACACATGCAGACACACAGATGCACATACACTGACAACATACAGATACACAGACACGCACAATGACAACATACAGACACACAGATACATAACCTGACAAATGCAGATACAAACACTGACACACATGCAGATACACACATTGGCTACATGCAGATACACACATTGGCTACATACAGATACATGCACAGGTATACACACTGGCACACACACACAGATACATACATACTGACAACATACAGATACACACTGACACACACAGACACTGTGACAGACATACTGACACTGTGACAGACATACATACTGACACATACACAGACATACTGACTGGCACACCGACATACATACAGACACACACAGACATACATACTGACACACACACAGACATACATACTGACACACACAAAGACATACATACTGACACACACACAGACATACATACTGACACACACACAGACATACATACTGACACACACAAAGACATACATACTGACACACACACATACATACAAACTGACACACACACATACATACATACTGACACACACACATACATACATACTGGCACACACACATACATACAAACTGACACACACATACATACATACTGACACACACACATACATACATACTGACACACACAAAGACATACATACTGACACACACACATACATACAAACTGACACATACATACATACATACTGACACACACACAGACATACATACTGACACACACACATACATACAAACTGACACACACACACACATACATACAAACTGACACACACACAGACAGACACCCTTCAGTTTGCTGGCTGGGGTAGTTGGGAGTTGGGGGTCTGGCTCTTGTTGCTCCCCCTCCTCACTGAATCCTGGCTAGCAGCCTCCCGCGCGGCCCGATATCTTTGAGGTGGGAGGAAGTGATTTGCAGACGTCACTTCCTCCCATGCAGCCGTTAAGCAAGGACCTGGTCACGCTGTTAAAGGGCCACAGCGCCGACCGGACCCCTGCTGTAACATTCTCACTGGGTGGCCCTAATGGTATAGGCCACCCGGTGGGCCCCCTTAGTGTGCGGTCCCCGGTGCAGCCGCAATACTAGCACCGCGGGCCCATTAGGTAGGGAAATATTTAAAAAAAAAAATAAATTATTGCAGGCGACGGGGCCCACGGGGCAGCTGCTTTGGGGCCCCCATGAGTAACTGGGCCCAGGGCAGCTGCCCCGTTTGCCCCTCCTTAAAGACGGCCCTGAAGACCATATCTTAAAGTCTTTATGTTGAAAATCCATTGGGCTTCTTACGTATTAAGTGAAGTTTCAATATTTCCCCCTCTCCAATGTCTTTCCACCTTGTCTATTGCAAAGGCCAAAAGCGTATTCCATTGAAATTGTGGACAAGAGATAGTGTCTGGGTACACTGAGATCTCATTTCCTATTTCTTATGTTCTGAAAATGTTCTAAGAGTCTAACATGTAGTTTGCGGATAGTGCGTCCAATATATTGCGCACCACAACCACACTGCAATAAATGTTACATGGTGTTATAGTCGTGACTTAAATATGAATATTAATTTAATAATTAATATATAATAATTAAGCAACAAATAACAACATTAATAGAGTTCGGTATTATGGTCGAATATATAATAGGAAATACACAAAACATTGTAGTATTAAATGTATATTTAATATAATTATAATAACAATTAAACAAATGCTAGCAGAATGTCAATTTACCACAATAATTACACAATACAAAACTACAACATTACTTACAAAAGGCTATAACAGTTGCTAGCTGTTATTCAACATTTTACTTACAAGGCCCCAGCCCTTTGGCTGGGGTTAAGTCAGAGCTGGTTCTACATGATCAGTCAGGTACAGGCAAAAACAGAGAGCTAGCTTCTCCTAACATCTGATTTTTATTCAGTGTAAGTAGGCTGGCCTGTGATGTCACTGCCAGAAGCACAGGTCTTCCTACACACTCCCCCTAGTGGTGCCCCCAAAGCATTACACTAAATATGCTTTACTGACATCTAGTGGTGCGTCTAAAGCATTAAGCTCATTATGCTTTTTTTATGACAAAAAGTCATGAATTAATAAATACCATTACACATGGGTTGTGGAGCACTGTAGAAATGTCTTGATATGATAAATTTGATGTGTATGAACCTGTGAATGAATTGATAGTTTTCTTTTGAAAGGTACAAATGGAGCATTTGCCACAACGATAGAAACGCTGTAATAGTTCTTTAGAAAAAAATATGTGTTGGTAGTGTGGATATAGTTCTTTCGGCTTTTAATAAGCTTGGAGGTAGTTTGTTTTTTAGATTGTCTGCTCTCTTACACATCACTGTTGTTTTTTGGGGTACAATTTTGTTCAAGAATATATCTTTCCTCAACATGTGCCAATGTCTTTTACTTACAATATTTTTGGCTTGAAAATTATATTTGGTTATAAAGGCAAAATCAAATTGATTCTTATTTTTGAAATGGTTTGTTCTGGTTTGTGTGATTAGTTCATTTCGATTAGTGTTGATCAAAGAAAACTCTGCTTCTTCGATTGATTTTAAATCGTAACCTTTTTCAGTATATCTGTTTTTTTAATCATTTTGGACTGGGTCTTAAAGGTATCTTTTGGTGCGGGATGTTAGTATATAGTGAAACCACGTCTACCGAGGCTAAAATATAACCAGGTTTCCACTGTATTAGTTGTAAATCTTTTAACAGATATTTTGTCATTTATATATGATGGTATAATGTGTACTGTAACAAAACCCTGCCATGTGCCTGGGAATGTTCCCTGTTAACGGCCCTTTAAGAACTAGCCAGGGACATATGCTAAAACAGAGACCTTGGATTAAAAGTATATATATTTTCCTGACTTACAGGACATCACAACGCTTACATGCTGGAGGTTTTTCTAGCTACTTTCGGGAGGATTGCTACAAAGCTTTTCGGGACTTTTTAAAGCATTCGTGCAATTGGGGCACCTAACACTGTATGAATGCAAACTACTGAATGCAAAGTACCGAACATCATTGTGCTGCATCCATGTGTAATTGCAAGCACACGGCCGCTTTATTGAAGTCCCTGGGTGGCCACCATTTCGGTACTTTTTTACACGTGGCCTTGTCCATCTTAATTCCCGAACAGCAGTGTTTTGCCTTCGAGTGTCTGGAACTAAAATCAGACACTCGAGTAGGCGAACACCGCTGAAACCTCCAGACTACCAGAAATCTGTGCCAAAACTACCGGACGCCCCGCCGTTCGGTAGAAAGACTACTTAACACATGGGGATTCTAGCGAACACGAGATATGCACGGATGGCAAGCCTTTCGGGACTTTTTACCCACGAACAAGAAGACTTTAAAGTGCCATATCCCCTGAACCCCTGAATTGAATGAGATGATTTTTAAATATGTTGTTCCCCCAGAATAGGGCTATATTTATTTGGGGTACACAGATATTTGGGGTACATCCAAAACTTGGGGAAAAATTTAACTTTGTTAATTGTGTTACAGGCTTATCTGAGGGGAGGAGATGTGTGGGATGTACCTTATGTTTTATTGGTTGTTGTGTTAATTATGTGGGTGTCTCCCTTGCATGGGCAGCATCATATAAAAGGAGAGTACCTGCCATTAAAATTCAGTTCTTCTTGACCCTTCAAAACGTGGCCTTGTCTCGTTCTTGAAAGGGGATATGCAGCTTAATCACCTAGCTCTTTTAAGAGCTCTGTCTGACTCTTGCCTTGGATCCAGTGAATGGGAATAAGCAACTTCACTACTACACAGCGACTTGCCGGGGAAAAAGGACGTCTCCAACGGCTGATACCCTCTTACTACCTGGGTAGACATTGGTGGTAGCGGTGGGATGGTCCTTTTATCCACAGAGCAAGTGCTGAATGGAGTCTCAGTATGACAGACTGAAGAGACCCACACTGAAGGATCTACTGGAGAGTCGTGGATGGAGTGCCAGTAACAGACCACGGAGAGAGCTGATGGATCGGTCCATGGAAGTCACCAGACCCCTGGCACCGATCAGCGAAGAAGATGACATCAACCGCATTGTGCAGAGTAAACTAGCCATGTACCCAACAACGTCAGTAGAACTGATTGAGTGGCTGTTCCTCGACGTGAAAGCAGAGATTTGGGAGAAGCGGAGCCACGAAATCGAACTGGTAAGAGCACAAAAGACAGTTCAGACCCCCCCTCCAATCAACATGGGAAAGAAGGTCCCCTTCACAGCATTTAAAACTTTTGTGGAGAACGAAGATGAGATTGATGGATACTTAGCAGATTTTGAGAGACAGTGCTCGTTGCATCAAGTACCCCCAGAGCAATGGGTCACTATCTTGTCCGGGAAACTGTCCGGCAAGGCGAACGAAGCCTTTCGGGCTCGCACCTCAGAGGATATACTGCAGTATCAGCGGGTCAAGGATGCCCTCCTCACTAGATGTGAGAAATTGGTCTAGCAGATTATTCTTGTTCTTGGGTAGAACATTGGCTTAAGGATAGAGTACAACGAGTTATCATTAATGGTAAATTTTCATGCTGGACAAAAGTGGTAAGTTGTGTCCCTCAGTGTTCTGTTTTGGGACCACTTTTTAAAATATTTATAAATTATCTTGAAATGGGCATTGAAAGCCATGTTTCGGTGTTTGCAGATATCTATAGAATATAGAATGCACACCATAACAATCTCAAAAAAACTGCTGCTACTCTCCCTAGAAGTGGCTGTCCTGTAAAGATGACTGCAAGAGCACAGCACAGACTGCTCAGTAAGGTGAAGAAGAATCCTAGAGTGTCAGCTAAAGACTTACAAAAGTCACTGGCAAATGCTAACATCCCTGTTAGTGAATCTACAATACGTAAAACACTAAACAATAATGATTTCATGGGAGGATACCACAGAGGAAGCCACTGCTGTCCAAATAAAACATTGCTGCATGTTTACAGTTTGCACAAGAGCACCTCGATGTTCCACAGCAGTACTGGCAAAATATTCTGTGGACAGATGAAACCAAAGTTGAGTTGTTTGGAAGAAACACACAACACTATGTGTGGTGAAAAAAAGGCACAGCACACCAACATCAAAACATCATCCCAACTGTGAAGCATGGTGGTGGGGGCATCATGGTTTGGGGCTGCTTTGCTGCGTCAGGGCCTGGACAGATTGCTATCATCGAAGGAAAAATGAATTCCCAAGTTTATCAAGACATTTTGCAGGAGAACTTAAGGCCATCTGTCTACCAGCTGAAGCTCAACAGAAGATGGGTGTTGCAACAGGACAATGACCCAAAGCATAGAAGTAAAACAACAACAGAATGGCTTAAACAGAAGAAAATATGCCTTCTGAAGTGGCCCAGTCAGAGTCCTGACCTCAACCCGATTGAGATGCTGTGGCATTACCTCAAGAAAGCGATTCACACCAGATATCCCAAGAATATTGCTGAACTGAAACAGTTCTGTAAAGAGTAATGATCAAGAATTACTCCTGACCAGTGTGCACGTCTGATCTGCAACTACAGGAAACGTTTGGTTGAAGTTATTGCTGCCAAAGGAGGTTCAACCAGTTATTAAATTCAAGGGTTCACATACTTTTTCTTGCAACTGTATGTATTACATATGTACATGTCAAAGAGGACCAATAAAATAATAAAGAATAAAGAATCTTAGATCCACCTTAGAAATAGAATGTGATCAGTGAACCTATACATAAAATCATCGCCCACAAATGTTACAAAACAAAAACACAAAAGAAAACCAAAAAGTGATGTGCAAAAAATATTTTGAATTCAACACACACCCAATGTGTAATAGACTGATCGCTACAGGTGCCAAATACGCAATAGTAATGCAATACACAGTGGTTCTCCATATGGTACATGTTAACTACTTAGTACACTATGTAGTGTAAATCAGTAATTATTCCATTTATTTACAAGAATAACTATATTGCCATAATTATTTACACAAACAAAATTAAAAAATAAAAACCATATAATACAATGTGAACCGCATATTAGGAGGCTATTCGTCATCAATTTTTAAGACATAGCAACATATTTAAAGAATTCATCACAAATATATATAACTTTGAGAAAATAAAGACATATCAGTGCCATTGAATAATCCATTATAAACGTATATAGCATTAGAAAAATCATTACTACATCACCTTCGTCAACCTATATACTGACTATACCCATACCAACCGCATAAACATAGCATAGGTAAACAACATCGTACCACCCACAAAAAAAACACTACTCGTGGCAAAAAGCTCTCGTAGTCATGGGTACCATCGTTCAATATTGTCAGTATACTAAATGTATAAATAATCCTAAATCATAATTCATATAAACAAAATTTGCTATAGTATGAGATACAAAACTATATATGCACATAATGGGTCATCATAACAAAGACGTGAATCAATTCAACGTGTATGATGATACATTCTAATCGATTCGATATCTTCCGGCACACTAATGTCACCAGTACCATGGTCCAAATGGCCACTATAGCTCCAATCTATAAAAAAAGGAAATAAAAACAAAACATAAAGATACAGACAAAACGCAGGCAGAGTAAAATATTGTCAGGATTATAGAAATGGTGATAGATCCTTATCCTCATTCAGACCCTTAGGATACAAAGTCTGCAGCTCGTAAATCCAGTATACCTCACGTTGTTTAAGCCTAACCACTTGCCAAATGCCACCCCTACTGGATTTAATCACCTCCAAAATCATGTACCGCAGTTGGGAAACTGTATGTCTTTTCTCAGCGAAGTGTCGGGCCACCGGATATTGCATCTTATTCATCCGTATGCCGCTCTTGTGTTCCCTGATCCTTGTAGTGAGCATACGCGTGGTTTCACCCACATACACCAATCCACACAGGCATTTGAGCATGTACACCACAAACAGACTGGCAATTACAAAATTCCTGAATCGGGTATCTCCTACCCGTCCTCGGGTGTGTAAAATGGTCTCCCGTGATCACCCCATTGCAGTTAATACAGTGCCCACAGCGGTACATACCCCACACACGAGAAGGATTTGGGAATTGTTATAGACAACAAATTAGGCAGCAATATGCAATGTCAATCTGCAGGTGCTAAGGCCAGTAAGATTTTGTCATGTATAAATAGGGGCATAAATTCCCGGGATGAAAATATAATTTTGCCTCTTTATAAATCGCTGGTAAGAGCACACCTTGAATATGCTGTGCAATTTTGGGCACCTGTTCCAAAGAAGGATATCATGGCACTAGAAAAAGTTCAGGGACGGGCTACAAAATTGATAAAAGGCATGGGGAAATTTAGTTAGAAAGGTTAAAAAATTAAATCTATTTTGGAAAAACGGTGCCTCCGAGGGGATATGATAACATTATACAAATATATTCGGGGGCCAGTACAAACCACTGTCTGGAAATCTATTCATATACAGGGCTATACATAGGACACGAGGTCACACATTTAGTCTGGAAGAAAGGAGATTGCATCTAAGGCAAAGAGAAGGTTTTTTTTTTTACAGTAAGAACAATAAGGATATGGAATTCTCCGCCTGAAGAGGTGGTTTTAGTCCATACAGATGTTTAAACTGAAATTGGATAAATATTTGCAAAAACATAACATACAGGGATATATTTTCTAATTAGTGGGGTAATAGCTGCTTGATCTAAGGAGACATCTGACTGCTATTTTGGGGTGAAGAGGGCATTCTTTCCTAGTTTGTTGCAAAATTGGAAGCGCTACAAACTAGGTTTTTTGCCTTCTTTTGGATCAACAGAAAAAACATGTGAGGAAGGCTGAACTTGATGGACGCAAGTCTCGTTTCAGCTATGTAACAATGTTCATACAGACAAAGTCATTGATATACACACTTCCTACAGACAAGCTCATTCACACACACACATGCTTATTACATAAAAGCTCACACACACACACACACACATACAAGCTCACTCATTAGCAGGCACACACATAAACAATCAATGTCATGGGCTGAAGCCTACTGTCAAGGGCTGTGGGAGACTAGGAGCATTTGGAGATGAAGTCTCCATATTCTATCATCTTCCTTTGAGTGAGGTCAGCAGCGTGAGTGTGCGAGGTTGGAGGGTGAGGCTTGTGTATGTGAGGCAGGGCATGAATGTGAGGGAAGAGCATAGAAGCACCAAATTGCTGGGGATTTGGAAGTGAGCTTCACAGTGCTTCCTCTGGCCCCCTGGAAGCCTAAATGTGGCCCTCAGCACCTCCCTCCTTCTTTGCCTTTAGACTGAACTGTCACAGTGTGAAGAAAAAATTACCTGTTGGGAGGGGGCAAGTGGCTTCAGTCAACATATATACCTCCTTCATCAAGCAGGGTACTGCCACTTGTAGCAGGGAACAGTTTGACTTTCTCTCCGTTATCTTCTTGTAATCTTTTTGCAGCAAAATATTTTTAGATATTCAGCCAGTGATTATCCAGACTTAAATCTTGTCCATGCTTTCTCCACCATTAAGTGTAGGAAATTAGCTGATGCTGAGACGTTTGTTTGTCACATCAGAGATCCAATAATTAAATCAGAATGTCTTGCAGCCTTAAAATTTATGTTTATTCAAACACACACAACATCCAAAAACAACAAAAATGTTTTGATATTAAGTATTGGTGGTGAATAACTATCTGCAAAAGGCTCTTATATTAATTAGGAGGTGTACACATAATGATAAGGTTATTTAATTCTTTAAAATATGTGTAAAAGGGTTGTGGCTTAATAACCATTCTGTCCAATCTAGCCATGAATTATAAAAATGGTTAACTTTTTTTCTTTGTTTATTACTATATGTGTTAAGGTGTACTATGTCCGTTGCTGCTGCCCAAGAGTAGTGGGAGTTTGAGTGCAGGACTTGTTTTTGAGTATTTGCCTTTACTTTTGTATCACACAGCTATGTTATAATGCTGCTGCCACCCACCCCATGTATTCCCAATTAAGGGTTAATAAGCATGAAAGGGTAAAATACCCCTCTGTCTCATTAGAGATATCTTTGACAGAAGCTCAAGGAAGCAAGGTGAATAGTCAGTATAGGACCCACCTAAGAGGTTTTCCTTTATGCCACAGGTGGACATTGGAGTAACTAAATAACTTCCGTTTGTGTAAATATGCAAAGGAATTTGGGAAGAGCGCAGGTAACCTTTTTCCTTTGGTTTTTATTGTATGTATTGACGTTGATGTGTGCTATGGTCGTTGCTGCCACCCAAGAGTAGTGGGAGTTTGAGTTACTTGGGGGTAAAATATAATCTATGTAAAGTATGTTACTGTATATGTTTAAATGAATACATTCAGAAAGAGGCCCTTCTTAATACACATGGGAGTCTGGCCTGCAATTCCGGGTCAAAGGTTATAATAACAGTGGGCCTTCATCACGCTATCTGAACAAGAACCATGTGTGTTATCCATTGATATACAATGGACATATGTCCGATAATTAATACTAGATGTCTAGGCGGGGCTACCAGTTCGCGTGTAAGTTTAAAACGATATTATTTGCAACTAATACAAGAATGATAATAGTTGTATTACAAAGATAAAATCCTACGACACATCAAATATTTTGACGCTTAGTAAATATTTTTCCGAAGACTGAAATTTGACTCCAAATTATGAGTGAATGATTGGAATATTTAACAAAATTGGCATATTTATTAGTTTTAGTCTCAAATGCATTGTATGCCCTAATAAATCCCCCCCCCCCCCTAAAAAAAAAACCCCAGAGAATTAGAAGTAAACAACCTTTGCTTGAAGTCTGTATTAACATTGGGGTGGGAAAACTAGCCTCTCTCTTGGAATTTCCAAGGTTATTGTTCTGGTTCAACAATAAAGGACCCGGAGGGATAATTAGCTTAACCTAATTTACATTCCGCAGTCAGAGCTCTGGTCTTCTATCACAGTTCATAGTCTTACTGGTATGAATCATTTTTAAATACATATCATGTGTGTGCTGTGGTTATTAAAGAAAAGCTGGAGCTCAGAAATAGTGATCCTACAAGTTGCCAGCAAGAAGCATGTGTCTTGTCTCTTTGCGGAGGTCTTGGTTGGAATCATGCAAATTTAAGTTCTGCTAAGGAACTATATTCACTGAAGTGTATTACCAGTGGAACGGGCTAGTAAGTATACTATGTAACAGCCAGAACATACAAGCACAATGTATCCTGATTGTATTCTGGGTTGCTGGTGAGTCAGCAACCAAGTGGAGCAGAGGTTAGGCACCTCTGGACAATAGCATGCGGGTGCCACAATACCAATACATCATATGTATGTTGACTGCTACTATGAAAGTTACTATTTATTGTGTCAGCATTAGAAAAATTCACAATACACGATATATTATTCCTATGTTTATCCATAGATGCATTATAAAATCACCTCACCTGTGTGAGATTTGTTTAAAAGAAAGCCATTTTCCACATTCAGAACTTGAGAATGGTTTCTCTCCTGTGTGAGTTCTGTTGACGGACAAGCTCTGCATTGGTGAAAAAAATAAAAAAAATAAAACATTTTTTACATTCATAACACAAGAATGGTTTCTCTCCTGTGTGAGTGCGGAGGGGCACTATGTCCCCCCATTTTAGTTATTTGGTTTCCCCACCATGTGCCAGGTCTCCCCTTATTGCACTAGTGACTGGGCAGTAATAGCTGCCCATTCACAAGTAGTTTTAAATGACAGCGAGCACTGTTCAGGTGACATTCCCCTTGTGGTAGAACTTACCATCTATTTGTATGTTTTTATCTTAGTTTGTGTGTTTTTCCTTTTTTCTGTTCGGGAGTACTTAATACGAACAAAATCCATTTGTCTCCAGAACGAGGACCACCCCTGTACCCCATTAGAACGTTCACACCAGTAGCTTAAGTATGAAACCGCAAGGGAACTAATTAATGAATGCTTTCCCTGGGTGGCCGCCATTTCGTATAACCAAACACATGGCAGACAGAAGAATGGTGGCCATCTTGTCTCCCGAACATGGGCAGCGGTACTTGGTCCCATCTGATGACCTGATCCAGCGAAACGTGGGTCAGGGGTTTTGGGGCATTGCTGTGCCCACGTTATTCGACTGCAGCCTTTATGAACAATTACTATATATATTTTTAGTTCTGTTTTTTTCTTGGCATCTTCTACTATTTTCTCGATTATCTTTATTTCTGGTTCTCTTTATTTACCAAGTGGGTGGTTTCTATTGTACTATAAGTTAGGGTCATTAATTAGGGGTAAGGGTTGTCCTCGAAGGCACAGTTATCATTTTGGTTTCTCCCCCCCCCCCCTTTTTTTGCCCTATACCTGTAATAGCTGCAGGAGGTTATCTCAGTTTGTTTCCTCCAGCGCCAGATGCTTTACAAAATAGGCATATATATTTATTTCACTATTGAAATGCCAGATACTTTTTGTTATACTTATTTTGGCTACGTGCCCAGTTACCTTTTTGTTACATTTTGAATAAATGCCTGAAGATAATAAGTTACATAGATGCCAAGTAAAGTGAGAGTTATTGTTAACTATTTAGCAAGTACCTATCAACAATCCTCTCCTAGTTATCACTCTGCTACCAAATTGCCATTTGACATAATATTGAATAATTTGCATTAAAACCTTTTTAAGGGTACTTACATTAACTCTACAATGTGGACCAGCCTCGGCTTTTTTAACTATATGTTCTGTATACTAGTGTACAGCACTATCAGTTCTATGTTGTAGTTGGTCTCTTATGTCTTTTGAGACTTTTTAGTAATTATTTTTATTAAAAGTTAAGTTTTATCTCATTATTTTTCTCTAGCATTCCATTATTGTTATACCAGATATTGTTACCTATATGAACAGGGGGAGCATTCATATCCCGAAATGAAGAGATTCCCTTACATGGGGTTCGCACAGGAACCTCACGAACAGAGACCGGCCAGGACACCTATTTTCCTGGAACTTTTTAAGACTGGCGTCTGGTGTCTGGCCGGTCAACACTTTACCTCGATGGCACTCCCGTTTCACCAAACCAATCTGAGTGATCTTTGGATATGATCGGGGCTATCAGGGGGAAGTACATTTTTATGTGGCACTTTTGGGGAACTATATATTTCGTTGGATTTTTTGTACCTGAGAGAAAATTAGATTAGTGTTTTATTTTTCTCATGCAATTATCTCTCAGGCACAGAGGATCCTGGGATTGAAACCCCTGTTTTAGTGCATTGTAAACCCCATTTAGGGGACTGGGCATAAAAGCCCTGTGTGGTCTGAATAAACTCAGTTGACTCCCAGAACTATGTTTCATCTTGTTACTGGCGGAATTGATATCTACTTGTGTTAATGGTTCCAGAGTGGCTGAAGGAAGGAATTAGCGGAGGTAATTAGTCGGGTTACCCGTGGTTCGAGTAGAGGCATGCAGGTGGATTTAACCTTTTTTATTAATATGGGGTTATAGTGACCCCATATATTTTAATGCAGGTGGGGTAGGAATTGTTAATATTTATTACAAGGAGGGAGCTGGTAGTGCTCCCGGCTCCCTCCTTGCTTTTTTTTTTTTGCTCATGTGCAGTGTTATTTTTGTCCTAATAGATGAAAAATATATAATATATATATATATATTTTATTTTTTTTACAGAACTTTGTCCAAAAACTAATGTTTTACAGCTGTAATAATAAATGGACAAACTACATTTTTATTTAGCACAAATTATTTTGTCCAAAACAAAAAATTTCACTGGTACAAATGTCTATTGTTCTCATTCAGATCACAAGAACGGTTCTCTCCTGTGTGAGTTCTCTGATGACGGACAAGCTCTGCGTTGTTGACAAAACATTTTCCACATTCAGAACACGAAAACGGTTTCTCTTCTGTGTGAGTTCTCTGATGACGGACAAGCCCTGCATTTGTGTAAAAATTTTTTGCACATTCAGAACATGAGAACGGTTTCTCTCCTGTGTGAGTTCTCTGATGTCGGACAAGGATGGCTTTGTTTAAAAAACATTTTTCACATTCAGAACATGAAAACGGTTTCTCTCCTGTGTGACTTCTCTTATGATTGACAAGATCTGAATGTCGACCTAAACATTTTCCACATTCAGGACATGAGAACGGTTTCTCTCCTGTGTGAGTTCTCTGATGACGGACACGGTCGTTGTTGGTGACAAAACATTTTTCACATTCAGAACACAAGAATGGTTTCTCTCCTGTGTGAGATCTCTGATGCGTAACAAGTTGTGAATGTTGACTAAAACATTTTCCACATTCAGAACATGAGAAAGGTTTTTCTCCTGTGTGAGTTCTCTGATGACGGACAAGGTCTGCTTTGTAGGTAAAATATTTTCCACATTCAGAACACGAGGACAGTTTCTCTCCTGTGTGAGTTCTCTGATGACGGACAAGCCTTGCATTGGTGAAAAAACATTTTTCACATTCAGAACACGAGAATGGTTTCTCGCCTGTGTGAATTCTCTGATGACTGACAAGATCTGAATGTCGCATTATACATTTTCCACATTCAGGACAAGAGAACGGTTTCTCTCCTGTGTGAGTTCTCTGATGACGGACAAGGTCGTTGTTGGTGACAAAACATTTTTCACATTCAGAACATGAGAATGGTTTCTCTCCTGTGTGAGTTCTCTGATGTCTTACAAGATTTGAATGTTGACTAAAACATTTTCCACATTCAGAACACGAGGACAGTTTCTCTCCTGTGTGAGTTCTCTGATGACGGACAAGCCTTGCATTGGTGAAAAAACATTTTTCACATTCAGAACACGAGAATGGTTTCTCTCCTGTATGAGTTCTCTGATGACTGACAAGATCTGCATGTCGCAGTATACATTTTCCACATTCAGGACATGAGAACGGTTTCTCTCCTGTGTGAGTTCTCTGATGACAGACAAGACTTGCGTTGGTGGCAAAACATTTTTCACATTCAGAACATGAGAACGGTTTCTCTCCTGTGTGAGTTCTCTGATGACAGACAAGACTTGCATTGGTGGCAAAACATTTTTCACATTCAGGACATGAGAATGGTTTCTCTCCTGTGTGAGTTCTCTGATGACGGACAAGCTCTGCATTGTAGGCAAAACATTTTCCACATTCAGAACATGAGAATGGTTTCTCTCCTGTGTGAGATCTCTGATGTGTAACAAGTTTTGAATGTTGACTAAAACATTTTCCACATTCAGAACATAAGAAAGGTTTGGGGTTTATGTTTACTATCTTCTTTGAGAACATATGTATCTGAGAAAATGTTTGATTTTTCAGAGTTAGACTCCTTGGTTCTGTTATTAAAAGATTTCTTCTGGTCACCTCTCCTCACAAATACACCTGAAAGAAATATACTGGGAGTTAAAGGAAATCAGTCACTATAAATTATTGTTTGCTATACTTAGAAAAACTGTCAATATTTGCATAATAGATAACCGACCTTCAGGTGTCAAATTGATTGCGAAGAAATTAAGTATTTTGTGTACTTTAACCCCTTCACTAGCAAAATTGTGTATACTCCTTTTTACTTTAATTTACAAAATTAGATTTAGTCCATACAGCCTCACATATCTGCATTTATGCTAGAGGAACAAATTACAGATACTGTGTAGATCACATACATTCTAATCACATGTATTCTAAACACATGCAGCACATAATTTCACTGTTGTCCCACATCTTCTACTATTTGTATATCACGCCTAGTCTCTAGCACTTATACTAGAAGGTTGTGTTATTGAAATTATAGTAGATACCTGGTTTGACCTGCCAGTGGGAACGTACTGGGAGTTAAAGAAAAACGGTCTATAAAATATTTATTGTTTATCATACTTAGAAAAACCTGACAATATTCTTGTGAAACATAATAAATATGACTATGAAACATCATGGTGATTGAACCTTCATTATACATTTTTTTTTAATAGACTTTTTATTTGCCTTGCAAATTTACTTTTAGTCCATAAAGCATAACTTACTTACATTTATACTTCAAGAATGGTTCACAGATTGTAGAGGAAAATTTTAATATCTGAAAATATGGCTTTATAAAGCTTGTTACTTGGACAGCTCATTTACAGCCTGATGTTTCACAGACTAAGTCACCTCTGCCTAATGTACCTTCACCTATATGTCACGGCTTCCGGCTTGCTGCATGGCGTGTCTGTGCCTGACTGCACCGACAAACTGAGTTTACCTGCTCGGTGGCGAGCCGGGAACCACTCCTCTGCATCCTCTGGGAAGTGTGCCCAATACAAAGATGGCGCCGACCATTCGGTCATGCCCATCAATGGCGCCGCCCCCCAGGGTTATATGAACGTGCATCTGACATCACGGCGCCAATGCACACGTGCGTTCTGGGGTCAGAGGTCACCAATTACAGCCTAGAGAGGGATATATAAATCACTGATTCACCCCAGTACCTTGCCCTGTCATTGTTTCCTGTCCTGGTTCCCGAGAGTGCTTTTATCTTTGCTGTATTTGTGATTTCCAGTATTTTGACCTTGGCTATTCCCGACTACGCTGATTTCTGGTTCCCCTGTCTTGGCTTGTTAAACAGTACTTGTGTATTTCTGGCTTCTTTGACCTCGGCTATCCCTTGACCATTCTCTGTCTCTAACGTATTAGTCCGGTTTACGTTCTATCCTTTTTTATTTCCTTTCTATTTTCTATGTAGATGTTACATAGTTCTGTGTGTTGGACCACACTAGCAGTCGTGACATTACGACAGGGCCATGGATCCTGCAGAACTATGTTAGCCTATCTTCACAGGGTGGAGGATATGGACCACAGGTTGGATCAATTTGCCCAGGCATTCCAAACCTTGCTTCAGAGAACAGCTTATCTTGAAGCACCTCCAGTGCAACCAGTAGCTCCACCACCTGTGGCATATAAACCTCCACCTAAATGCTTTCTCCTCCCCCTTGTTTTGTGTCACGGTAGTTTACCCCTACACGCAAGATTTAGTCCAACAATCGACAGAGCAGATACGACTTACCGGACCTTAGACTTGCCGTATAGCAGAGAATAGACAGAGTCAAGAACAAGCCGAGGTCAAGGGAACAAAGAGACAGTGAGAACAAAAACTAGCCAAGGTCTGGTACACAGTAGTCAGTAAGCCGGCAAACAAGACAAAACAGGGATCGAGAGATAAACGGAGTCAGAATCAAAGCCAAGGTCAAGCACGAAAATCACAACAAGCGCTAAAGGGAACTGAAACAGAAATCACGATAGGGCAGGGAGTTAAGGGAGAGATACGTATAAATACCCTAAACTTTACTTTGATTGGCCCCTGTCATATCCAAGTCCCCAAAATGTGAGTGTCTGGGGAATGTGGGATGACAGGGGCCAATGGGAGACCATTGTATTATTTGGCTCCCACTGCCCCTTTAAGAGCTTGCCCAAGACGCGCGGCATGCTCTTAGAGCTAGGCGGGACACGTGACCGCATCTCGCGGTCCGTGCCCGCCTTCATTCGAGAGCAGCGCGCGGCGGGAAGAGAGGACCTCGGCCGGCCCCCAGGTAAGGTAAGTACCGCTACATTTTGGAGGTGATTCTAAGGAGTTCAGCGGTTTCCTGAACCAAATTAAATATCACTTTGAGGCTTCCCCTGGCTCCTTCCCAACAGATAGCCAATCTTTGACCTATCTTATGAACCAATTATCTGGGAAAAGGCCTTAACTTGGGCCAATCCCTTATGGGAAAGTGGTAATTCCATTGCCTGAGATTATAGAGCATTCTTAACGGAATTTTAAGCTACCATTGAACCAAAGGGAAGAGAGAAAAACGCATCTAAAGCCCTAATAAAGCAAGGCAGTCGTTCTGTAGCTGACTATACTATAGAGTTCAGGACATTAGCCTCTGAGGAGGACTGGACTAACAGTGGTCTGGTGGCTGCTTTTTCTGAGGGTTTGGATGAAAATATACAGGATGAGAATGCAGCCAGAGACCTTCCGGTCAATCTTAATGATTATACAACCTACATGATAGACATTGACAATAGACTCAGGGAGAGAGAGAGAGGAACAAACAGCGTACAAGACGTGCCAACAAGATTAAATCTTCCCCTTCCTGTCATATGATACTCTGTTTGCCGTGGCTCCAGAAACACAATCCACGTCTAGATTGGGTTAAAGGAGAAATTGTGGGTTGTTGAGAGAGTTGCAAAAGTCATTGTAAACACCAAATGCCACAATGTGTTGGTACCATCAATGCACCTCCCTTAACCACACCGAGATCCCACCGCAGTATTTAGATTTAAAGGAAGTTTTTAATAAGGTTCAGTCAGAGGTATTACCACTGCATAGACCCTATGACTGTGCCATAAATTTGCTACCAGGCACTATGCCTTCTAAAGGAGGAGTTCATGCGCAGTCTCCTCAGGAATCTCTCTGCTTAGAGGAATATATAAAAGATGCTCTAAGGGTCACATAAGGAGATCCTCTTCACCTGCAGGGGCTGGGTTCTTCTTCGTCTCGAAAAAAGAAGGAGATCTACGCCCTTGTGTCGATTATAGGGATTTAAATAAGATAACGATTAAGAACGCCTACCCAATCCCCCTTATTTCTGAACTCTTTGACAGGTTAAAAGGTGCCAGAGTATTCACATAACTCGACCTTAGAAGTGCATATAACCTACTCAGAATTAACGAGGGACATGAGTGGAAACTGCGTTCAACACCAGAATGGATATGAATACCTGGTCATGTAGTTTGGTTTGTGCAATACCCCAGCGGTATTCCAGGATTTTATAAACGATGTCCTTAGAGAATACCTCCACATGTTCGTACTGGTGTATCTAGAGGACATTCTTATCTATTCCCCAGATCTGGATACTCACCACGAACATGTAAAAATCGTGTTAAAAACCCTGCTAAAGAAAAAAAAAATCATGGACAGACAAGCCTACCCCTGGTCTGACTATCAGCGACATGTGAAGGCACGCAAGAGGCACAACTGGGTCCAACATGGCGGCTTCTCTTAATTTTCAGACGAGCACTCTGCAGACGCAGAAGATGAATACCAATCATCTCTAGCCTTAACACAGAGAGCTAAGCCCAACAAGACTGCAACTGAGGCTGACTTAGTAACCACTGGGGTTCTGAAAACTCTGCATGCAGAGCTGCAAAAGAACATCCATTACGCCCTTAGGGGAGAACTGCAGGGCCAGACAGGCCGCATTAGCACATTAGAGACCTCCTCACAAGACCACCAACAGAACATAACCTCCCTGCAAAAGTGTGTACAGTACTTACAGCAGCAGAACCAACTGCATGAACATCGTTTCACAGCCCAAGAAGGCGCCAGGTGGAAACAAAACCTAAAAGGTTAGAGGGATATCTGACGATATACCTGAGGGCGAGTTAGCGCAAGTTACAAGGCGCAAACTGGCGGCTATACTAGACCTAGCCTGACACTTGACAAGCTTAGTTTAAAGGAACACTATAGTCACCTAAATTACTTTAGCTAAATAAAGCAGGTCCATAAATAGAGAACCCCCCACCCCCCAGCATTCCCAAAGGTAAGGGGGGGGGGGTAAATAAAAAAAGTGTTAGTGTGAGTGTGTGTTTGTTAGTGTGTTTGTGTTTGTTAGTGTGAGTGTGTGTGTGTGTGTCTGTGTGTCTGTGTGTCTGACTGTGTGTGTCTGTGTGTGTGTCTCTGTTAGAGTGAGTGTGTCTGTTAGCGTGTGTATGCGTATCTGTCAGTGAATGTGTGTGTGTGTGTGTGTATTTAGAAGGCGGGGCAGGGGGAAGGGTTGGGTGGGGCTGGCGTGGGGTGTCTGAGTTTTGTCTTGCCTAGGGCAGCACAAAACCAGGATACACCACTGATCTCCTCCCCTGCATTTTGATGGTAATATTCAAGAATGCCAGGGATTTCACAATCAGATTGAGTACCACTTTGAGGCCTCACGGGCTTCCCTCGGATAGAGCTAAGATTGGTTACTTGATGAACCAACTTAAAGGTAAAGCCTTAACCAACTTAAAGGTAAAGCCGTAACTTGGGCCAATCCATGATGGGAGAGTAATAGGAGTTTTGCTTCTAAATTACCAGAAATCCCTTGCTGAATTCAAATTAACTTTGGAACACTAGGCAAGGAGGATGAGCATTCCACTGCCCTAATGCGTATCAAAACAAGGGAACCGGTCTGTCTCAGAGTATGCCATAGAATTCCGTACCTTGTCTTCTGAAGTAGACTGGACTAATAGCGGATTGATCTCTGCATTTAAAGAAGGATTATCCAAGGCTATTC